AAGTCACTGACAATGTTTCAGGTTTAGTTTTTTGGGGTTTTTCTCCAAATTTTGACCTATTGTAATGGTTGAATGGATTTAACCCCCAATATTTTGGTTTTATTTGTTTTCTTTCTACTCATGAAGCACAGCAAAAAAATTTTGTTGAATTATGGTTTTATGAATAAAGTACTTCAAACTGCAGCTTCACACATTACCATAATTTGTGTTGGTATTCAAGTTCAGACATTTCTTCCAATATGAAAAAACAGGTTTAAAGAAAACCATTTGCATTGTTTAAAGCAAAATGAAATAGTTATATGACTTTGCTTTCATAATTACAGTGCATGCATAGGATTACTGATAAACACCTAACATGACTTAAGGCTCAATATATTATAGTCTTCCAAAGGTAGTTTCTCAAAAGGGCCATTATTACACACTTTATTCTGAAGTTAGCATTTCAGTGAGGACTTCCTGATGTTAGCATTTCAGTGAGGACTTCCTGATGCCTTGTTCACATGTTTTAATTTTGGAATCAGCAATGATCTGTTTGATTTATTACACTATAAGAAACTTAGGTACAGTTTGAAAACTTCAAAAGTTGAGATTACAAATGATTGTTTTCAAGCACTGCTGTTGTGCTAATAGTAGTGATCAGCTGTAATCAATTACTATCATGATTTTGACAGTTTGGATTCATCAAATGGTTTTCACCATAACACAGTTGTGGAAATGAATTTCTGGTAGCTTTTGACAAAGTCAGAACTGAATCATCTTGCAAAATACCAGGTTTTTATTCTGCTCATGTTATGTACCAGCCTTCTACAAAACAAAATAACAGATAAAGTAATGAGTACTAAGACCTGGACTGAAGCAACATCAGTCGCTGTTATTTCAGTTTGCTTTTAGTTTTATATATTAAAAAAATGAAATTGTTCCATGTTTTTCTTTAAGAATCTTATATTTGATTTTGTAATGTAATAAGATTTTTTCTTAGTGTAGTGTAGGACCAATATCATGTTACAATAGACGATCAAACTGTATTGAATGCTTCTAATAGAGGATGAGGTTTGTTGCAAAAGATGTGACAAATCTCATCCATTTGTTCATCTTTCAAAATAGTTCTGCTTTTTGTAAAATATCTAATGCAATTTGATCTCTGCTTTCTCCTAAATGTGTTATAAGACATATCCTTAGGCAATTTAGCACCTTTTTCTTCCTCCGGCAGTGGCAAAAGGGATGCCATATGGGGAGGATTTGTGAGTTTGACCAGTTCTGCTCACTTACTCCCCTCATTCATAGCTGTTGTATTGGGGATTTTAGAGGTACACATCTGTCCCCTTTAAGAAGTGTTTATAGATTTGTTGTCCTGTAATTAATCCATGTTGGTTTTGAACAAGCTGACGTCTGCCTCCATAACTTCATCTGGAAACTTGTTCTGGAAGTTTGCTGCTTGCTGTATAAACTAGTCTTCTACCAGCTTCATTAAGTGCCCCAAGTACCAGTTTCACAGGATTTGGTGACAGCTCTGCATTGCCTTTATCTGCTGCCTTCACGGTTTGTTTTTCATTGTGTTTTGTTTTGGGTGTGTTGTTTGTTCCCGCCCCCCCCCGAGCTGCAACTGTACCATAGTAGCTATTGTGCTGCCTTCAGAGCATGTTTAATATTTGCGCTTTGCCCGGTGACTTAAGAGGTCAAGTGTTCTTGTTTGTTATTACCCTGCCAAAGAAAGAGATTTTATGTATATTTTTGTGTGTGTATTTGTTGTGGTTTAACCCAGCAGACAGCTAAACACCACAGAGCCATTTGCCCATTCCTTGAGAGAATTGGAAAAAAGGTAAAACTTGTGGGGTGAGATAAAGACAATTTAATAGGACAGAAAAGGAAAGGAAAATAATGATAGCAATAAAGGAATATACAGAGCAAGTGATACACAATGCAATTGCTCACCACCCACTGACCAATGCCCAGTCAGTTCCCAAGCAGCAGCTGTGCCACCTCCAGCCAACCTCCCCAGATTTTTGTTCAGCATGACATCATATGGTATGGAATATCCCCTTGGTCAGTTTGGGTCAGCTGTTCTGGCTGTGTCCCCTCCCAGCTTCTTGTGCACCTGCAGCCTCCTTACTGGCAGGGCAGTATGAGAAGTTGAAAAGTCCTTGACTCAGTGTAAGCACTGCTCAGCAGCAACTAAAACATCCCTGTGTTATCAACGTTATTCTCATCCTAAATCCAAAACACAATACTATACCAGCTACTAGGAAGATCAACTCTATCCCAGCCAAAACCAGGACAGTATTTTCAGAAAAGAACATAACACAAACATAAAATGTTAATAGCTTTTACTTTTGGGGAAGTAGAGTATACTGTTGAATCATTTTACTTTTATGCACTTTTCATTAAACTTGCTTCCAGGCAGTGTTGTACTTCTGAAAATCAAAGTACTCTTGACCTCAATTTTATTTTCTTCTTCTATTGAATGCAGGCAGGAATCTTACTGCCTAGCTAAGGGGCCATTTTCCTAATTTATTAACACTGAGTTTAATAAACAGTGTCCTCCTTAGGTAGTCATGACCCTCTTATCCTACATTCAGTGAAGCTGGTTTAGAAAGTCAGGTCTTGTGAGTCTGTAACTTCTCTGAAGTACAAATGTGCATGAGGGTGGAAAGCAGTCCTATGTCTAAATTAAAACCCTTTAAAGTATAAAGTTACTTCAGTTAACAGTTATACTCTAAATGCTGATACATTGGTGGAGAGTTTTATAAGTTAAAGTTCTTTAAACCATGATTCAAGATGAATACTGGTAGGTCAGTTACTGCATAGTTCCATTTTCCTTCAAGCTTAAGTTCCTTCAGGTTTTCTGAGCTTAACATCAAAGAACAGCTTTGAAGCCCTTTTGATTTCCACATAGACTCTAATCCAAGAGTGCAGTAGAAATAATCAACACCTGCAAAAGAAACCTTTCTTCTCCCAGGACAACTAAGATAATAACTGTTGAATACCTGTTAAATCTCTCAGGGTTTTTTAAGGGGAAAAATAGATTTCACAAGCAATGCATTTTAGCCATTTCAGCCTAAGTGTGTGTTTGCAATGACCAACTAATCACTTCTTGGGAACAGACTGGTTCAGCTCACCATCATACCCAACAGAACAGTGATACTGCAGCATACTGCATACTGTTTGGACCAAGGGTGTCACATAGTGACAGGAGAGAGGTAAATGTTATGATTGCTCCTGTCACTGGAGTGAATTTATTGCATGTGCACAAAATGTATGCCTGTATTCTGCTACCTGAAGGGAATTGTTCCAGTTGTATCCCTCTCCGAATTCTTTACTGGAGTTCTCAAGACAATTCTGTTTTCCCAGGC